TTTTTGAAATGGCATATGCTAGAAAGAATGCCACTTTCAAATACACCGACTGTAATTAGCTCAATTATAAAATAAAGTTTTCTAGAATTTCATGTGTATGTGACGCATGCTAGTGTTGAGTAATATGCTTTAAGATTTAGTCTTCATTCCATTCAATCACCTATGATGGTTTGATTACAAACTTCCTGTATTGCTTACTTTCCACCATGCTCTTAACCTTTTTATGCTGGAAAGAGTCCTTTAGGTCTGTTAATTTAGTGATTTATTTTAAGTTCTGTTTTCCTCTAGTTTCTAGTTTTGTTGCACACCACTTGTACTTATTGCACATTTGTATTCTCTCAGATTCGAGGAAAGATTGGTGACTTCATAATGGGTGTGTTTGCTGTATTTCAAGGTACACATGTTCTCATGAATGTTCTTAGGTTTAGGCATATATGATAACTATATGTGACACTTATTTATTTAAAGAACAATACTGCAACTATTTTTCATAGATTTTTCTGGACATCCACCCATATGCTTTCGGGCAATTTCCCCACCCCCCAAGAATGCAGGATATATGGCATTTGACTCTAGAGTGACTTAAATTCTCTACAGATTTGGACTTCAGTTTCCTGGAGATGAATCCGTTTACCCTGGTCAATGGGGAGCCGTATCCACTGGATATGAGGGGGGAGTTGGATGACACTGCTGGCTTCAAAAACTTTATGAAGTATTCAATGATAATATATATTCTTAGTACATTTTTTATTCACTATTTTCTTATCTTCAAGAGCTGTTCATTAATTAGTTTTTTAAAAATTCTAACTACCATACCAAGCTGCATCTCCTTTGTTGTGTCTCATTTATAATATGATGCTGTCCACAGATGGGGAAACATTGAATTTCCACTGCCCTTTGGTCGAGTGCTAAGCCCTACAGAAAGCTTTGTCCACTCTTTAGATGAAAAGGTAATTCATTTCAAGTCCTTATTGATGCTTAGAATTATTCTATCTTTCCACTCTCAATTTTTTGCCTGAGCCATGAAGGTTACTAATGAAATGAAGTTGGAAATTAACCACCATGATTTGGTCTAATGACCAAAAAGACAAGTAGTATACTCCATGTGCCTTTGAGTCGTGGGTTCAAACCATGATATTCATTTATTAGGATTATGTGGGTTTTTTTGTGATAAGTGTTGTAGAATAGGGGTTGTCCCACAAGATCAGCCAAAACATAAAGAAGCAAGTTTGAATACTCAATAGTTAACAAAAATAGATAGTGAAGAAAATAATTTGTATCTGTACAAGAGAAGACACTAGTTCTAATCAGATTATATTGCTGATGTTGCAGACAAGTGCATCCCTGAAATTCACAGTTTTGAACCCAAAAGGGCGCATTTGGACAATGGTGGCAGGAGGGGGTGCTAGTGTTATATATGCGGACACTGTAAGTGGTCCTAGTCCAATTCATGGACTTACTGCATAATTTCTCTCTGGCTGAAATTGAAACTTGTGTATATATGGTAATGATTACGATCCAAAGATACTGCTATTGATGCCATATTGTCTGTCACTGGTAGGTTGGAGATTTGGGTTATGCATCAGAGCTCGGTAATTATGCAGAATACAGTGGAGCTCCAAATGAGGAGGAGGTGTTGCAGTATGCCAGAGTTGTTATAGATGTAAGAATTAATGTTCTCTCGTCTCAGTTTAAGCATCTCAATATGTTAGAGAAATTAAGTTCTTTGTCGTGAAACTATTTAACTTTGAATCTTTGATGGAACCCAGTGTGCTACTTCTGAACCTGATGGTCGTAAGCGAGCCCTTCTAATTGGAGGAGGAATAGCTAATTTCACAGATGTTGCTGCCACTTTTAATGGAATTATCCGAGCTCTAAGAGAGAAAGTGAGTTGGATATTGGATGATATGTTCATTTTAGGTGGAAAAAAATATTGTCTAAATTTTATTGTAAAAAAAATCGTAACTACCAGGAATCAAAATTGAAGGCCGCAAGAATGCATATCTATGTTCGAAGAGGTGGTCCAAATTATCAGACTGGTCTTGCCAAGATGCGGGCTCTAGGAGAAGAGCTTGGAGTCCCCCTTGAGGTACAATATCTTCGTTCTTAATTTTTCTCTATATAACTTTTAACCATTTTGGTTTATTCTCATTGAATCGCTACATAATTTGAAGTGAGATATTGGAATGTGTTTTATATCTAAAAAGGGGAAACCAATAGATCTCTAAATGCTTCATTTAGATTTCATGATGGATAACAACTCATTCTTCTGCCATGAGTATGACTCTAGATTGAAAATGATTGGTTGCTTTCGTGTTTGTGTTGTACTAAGAGATACCTATTATTGGCTGAACTTATGTTGGAGATATGGAATCTCCGGAAATATATTTTTTACTATGAACTTTATTTTCCAGCAAAAAAGCTTGCATTGGTCGGAGGTGGTGTTCAAAACATATAACTTAATTACAGCTCCTCAGACTCGCTATTACTCTGATAAATTCATCCAAAATGTAGCCTTTTTATGCTGTGGCTGAATTGTCCTGATCTTATTTAGAACTTACCTCCTCCTGCCTCACCCTGCTCTGTGCAGGTTTTTGGCCCAGAAGCCACAATGACCGGAATCTGCAAACAAGCTATCGATTGCATAATGTCTGCTGCATAGTCCCACATTGCACATTTCTTTTGCAGCTGATGACTGAGTTGAAAGATGCAATAGATGTCATTTAGCTTATATCTGCTGCAGTGGGGAAAGGGAAAGGGAAAGGGAAAGGGAAAGGGAGTTGTTTTATTTGTAGCATGCTCATTCTTGTAGTCCTTGGAATTTGGAAAGCAATTTGTTCATACTGCTTTGCCATATGAAGAGATGATGGGGGAGATGGAGGTGTACTCCTTGTGACTATGCAATTGACTTCTTTCTTTCCAATTGGTTTGGCAATAGGGGATGCACCCAAAAATGTATTGTTATTATTATCTAATAATCATCTTCATCTTCTTCTTTTCTTTTCCTCTCCAAATTTTCATATCTTAATGGATTTTGGTTTTGACTTGTTTAAACCTCTTAATTCTATCAAGAAACTTAATGTCTCTGTGGAGGAGTTGTATCCACATCCATAAAAAAAACTTGTTTAAATACAGCTATGGTCAAGACCTGTAATTCTAGTTCGATCGACAGCCCGGTTGAACTGGAAGAGGAAGATGTTTCTCCCTGTGCTTTCCACCAGCAACCTGTTATCCAATCTCCATGCAATCGACATTTTATTTCGAATCACAGCACTCGACAGGAATGCGAGGCCAAGAGTTTGCCAACAGTTTTCAATGTCTCAAGTATATGTATTTCTTGAAATAAACGTGTCCCTAAAGTTTAAACACATGATTTTTCAAATTTGAATATAATTCAACGGGTTAAAATACTTATCTTCGACTAAAATGTCGAATTAGAATACCCACTCTTACATGTAATACTAAAAAAAACATATAAAACAAAAGTTAAATTAAAGATTTGGTCTTTAAAATTTTAATTTTGTGTTTTCTCACCCATTCTCATATTTTTGCCACTATATGATTGATTAGTTAATGTTTATACGTAATTATCTAGAAATAAGAATAAGAAGTGAGTATGCAAAATAATTGTTATATATTTGATCACTATTTTAATATCAGAAAAATTTAATAAACAAAATAAATGACATTATTTTTCAATCTGTGTTGTACTTGAAAAAGGGAAAAAAAAATTTCAACATTAATTTGTGCAATTGCCTCTTAGTTACCCGACACTGTTTTAATTAATTGTACCAAAAAACGGACAATTATATGAACTGCCCAGATATTATAGGGATGAATTATTATTATTTTTTTTTGACAAATGAATTATTCATTTTTTATAACATAAATAATTTAGCGGAAGCATTATTATATGATAGCATTAAATCAGGGAACATTATGCTTGTTCATAATATATACGTAGTTAATATCCAACATTCATCGTGATTTATAATTTTCATAATGAATAATTTTGTTTTTAAGCAATATAATCTGTAATTGAGATTGATAATTTGAGATTAAAAAATCTGCATTGGTTAAATTTATGTAGTGTATAATTGGCGGCAACACAGATTCTTATCAAAAAGAAATATAATATAAAATAAAATTTAAATGTATAAAAAGAATTGGTCCCGGCGGGTCTCGAACCCGCGACCTTCGGCTCATAAGACCAACGCTCTAACCAACTGAGCTACGGGACCTGTTTGTTTATGTGAATGTATAGTATACTATAAATAAAATTTACATATCCATAAATTGAAATAAACGTTAAATTGGGTTGTAGATTTTTTATTTTATATTAATAAATTAAATTTAGTTTTGTTTTTTAATAGCAATGCACAGTTGGGAGAGCGTCAGACTGGATATCTGAAGGTCATGTGTTCAATCTTTGTTCATTGGTATGCATGACGGGAGATTGTTTAAGATAATCATAAGTTTCAAGGGGAGTGAGTATTTGAATGAGTGACTTTAATAACCTTACTAATTCATTCAGAGGTGGATTGCGTTTTTTTATTAATACAAACATTACCTTTTACTGTACCATTTATAATAAAGTATATTTACGTCAAATTTGTACACATATTTTCTCATATTACTCCCTTAGTTTAAATTATCTTTCCCTTATTGTTCCTTACACTCTCGCAAGACTTTTTATTTTTTAAAATATCAATCGATTATTTATTAATATGTTTTATTCAATAAATTAAGATCTTTTTCGTTTTTTTAATTTCAAATTTATTATACATTAAATATTCGGGATTTTTAATTTGCTACATTGTTCCTTTTCCTTTATTATTTTTCTTTCAAATTCCCATTTCAACAATATATATATATATTTCTACAACAAATTGGGGCACGAAAATAATTTAACGATAAAAATAAAACTTACGAAAGTTGAAACATGGGGATAAATTTGGTATAATTTAACCAGAAAAAAAAGAAAAAAAAATCGCATAATTTCCGGCTCCGCCCAAGGCCTTGGCTCTTCCCGCCACAAGGACTTTCGAATGCTCTTCTCTGCTCTCTCAGTCCCCTATGCTTCGATCCAACAGCACCTGTAACTTCCGATCATGAGTTCCAAAGCAGGTAACATTCTGATTTCCATTATGTAATTTGTATTGTTGTTTCTGACGGGTCAATTTCTAGGTGGGAAGTCCGTTGATTTATGGTCCGAGTTGATAGCTAGCGAGGGAGCCGAGCGCCAAGAGGAAGCGCGAGTTGAAGAGGTTTATAGGCGTAGAAGAAGGCCACCCCCCCAGAACACCGTTCATGGCGCTGCCTTGTAAATTTGCTTCCATTGCTCGTTTCATTCCACTTTCTGTTTTCTTTTAACTTGACGAGAATCGTTGTTTCATGTTTCCGTTTCTATTTTCTTGCAGGAAGCAGAACTTAGGTTCGAATCGTCGCAATGTGAACAGGGTGAGTTTAGCTGCTGCTGACAGCAAGAGAATTAGTTGGAACCGTACTCTTTCGATCAGGTTTACTTCAATTTTCTTTTGATCTTCTTCTCAACTTTTTGCGACCAATTTCAATCAGGGTACCTATGGAATTTAATCTGTGCTCTTCTTAAGTTTACCTAACGGATGATTTGTTTATAGCTTATCCCTTTTTGGAATTAGAAATGAAAATTTGACTACGTAATGACTAAACCGCCCCGCGGCGGTAGATTGTTGAGTTGACACGAAGTATCATTTCTAGACGGGTTGGTATGTGTAGCATATTAGACATTATAGGTGAAACAATTGACACATCTTTGAAATTTTATCCACCGCAACTATTATAGAATTGGGTACTCTTTTATCTATTGGAAAAAGATTTAAGGATGAAATCCATTAGAGACCTGGAGTTAGAAAGGCTTAAGGAGATGGCTAGTATTGAACTCTGACGTGTTTCTTGTAAAGACGATTGTGAGAAGATTGAGAATATGCTCCAAGCAATCAAATTGTTTAAAGTATTCCTAGTCTGAGAGCCAATCTAGAAAAATCGATGGTTGGAGGTGTTAACTTGGAGTTAGAAAGGCTTAAGGGGATGGCTAAAAGTTTGAACTGTGGGTTCTGTAAGCTTCCAATGATGTATTTGGGTATGTCTTTAGGAGTGAATGCAAAAAGGGAGAAACTTTTGGAAGCTAATATAGGAAAGAATCTTGAGAAGGGTAAAGCAGTGGAAGAACCGTTGTTTATCTAAAAGTAGTTGCCAGGTCTAGTAAATGTTGTGCTTTCAAGTCTACCATTGTACTATATGTATATTTTCGGAATGCCACGAAAGTTAGCCCTGAAATCATAGAGGATAATGAGAGCATTATTTTTGAAAGGGATATTGTTATTAGGAGATTGTGGCATTCCTTTAGAAAGACGACTTGGGGCCTTTTAGTCTAAGAAAAAGAAATGAGGCTTTGTTGACAAATTGACACTACAGATTCTCGTTGGAACTGCTAGCGCTGTGGAATAAGGTTATTATTATTTGTGAGCATCTATGGCCAGAGGGCTTTCAGTTGGATGACTAAAACAGAGGAAACAACTTCATGTAGACATCCTCGGAGTCATATTCTAAGAATCAAGGGAGCATTTTTACTATTCATAACTAAAATTGAGAGATGAGAAGAATTTTCTTGGCAACTCAGTTGGTTACTTGATCAGCGGTTGAAGGACAGATTCCCCAAATGTTTTGTATTCGAACTTTTAATTTGAAAATTTACCCTGGTTGTGCTATAGAAATGAATTTGTTAAAGGAAGTTTGGGAGGAAGATTTAAGATCTTGGGATATCGAGGAAGAAGGCATCTAATAGAGGAAGAGTTGGGTGAGCTCAAGAAGCTTTTGCAGCCGGTAAAAGGGGTTTCTCCTGGAGGACTTTTGGATAGAAGAGAATGGTTCTTGAACTCCTCTGTTGTATTATCGATTAAGTCCTTGTTTTTTAAACTGATAGATGCCCAGTTTTCCTTATCCAAAGTAACGCAATTTGGAAAGGGAGGGACCTTAGTATATCAAGGTTTTTCTTGAAGTTTGCTTGGGAGGTGTCGTCACTGTTGAATGTATGTACATTGAACTTGCTCTTCAAAATTATCCCATCATTGAGTGTTTCACTTCTTTAAATCAGCTAGGTGGACAAAAAAGAAATATATTCCTCATTTGTTAATGCTATGCTGATGAAGTGTACAACCTAAGAACACCTAATGATCTAAATGGAAATAAAGTACGGCCCCCTTTGAAGGGGTCTCAGCTAGAGGTTTTAAGGCTTCTTTTGAAAGCCGGGAGAGCTCTCTCTTTCATTTGTTCCCGTTTTTTCATAGATCATGAGATGTTCTATTGGAAATGGCTCTGATGTTTACTTTTGGGATGATTGTTGGGTGGAGGATTATCCTTTTTGCCGCTGACTTCTCCACCTTTACCATCTCTCTAATATGAAGCTGCATTTTGTGGCTTTGGTTCTTTTGACCTCTACCAGTTTTTCATCAATTTTTTGGGGTTTCTCGTTTTTTGATGGATATTGAGACATTGGAGGTGTCAGCCTTACTGGTGTTGAGAACCCTCCCGACGGATTACTGGTGTTGCTGGTGTTGGTATGGTGTAAAGTGGACATGCATAAATTATTGACATTTAACGGTATCTACAATTATTGTCTTAATTTTCGTTCCCATTCATTTGAAATTGGCTTAGTGTATTGTTTTCACTTTTAACAGAGGGAGGGCGAGTATGGCAATTGAGGCTTGTGTAGTTCATCAGCTTCAACAAAAGCAGGCAAAGAGAAAAGGAAAACCTGCTCTCCCAAAAGTAGGCTTCTTTCCCTTGAGTGATATTTGTTTCCCTCAACTTCCTTTAGTTATGCAGAGTGTTATGTACGTTTAATCTTTGTTTACAAAAGTTCGACCTCTTTGTATCACACATCAATGCCTTGCATCGAATACTTGAAGATTATACGATGCCCTTAATTCTCTATATTCATCACAATGATTTTGATAATTGAAATTGGCAGGGAAACTGTGTACAAGCTACAAATTTTGACAAAGAGCGTGCATACTTTCAAGAGGTAGATGCCTTTGAGTTGTTGGAGGAGAGTCCTTCACCCAAGAGCAGTACATGGGCAAGCAGCCAGTTTGATATTGCTGCAGTACCATCTCTATGCTCTAGAATAGAAAAATGGTTAATTTCCAAGAGATCAAATTACAGTCTTGCACCTTCTAGCACGTTATCGAAGATATTAGAAACTCCACTGGTGTCCATTGAACCTATTAGTGGCAATCATTTGGGAAACTTCAAATTGAAAACTCCTGAGAAGTATGCTAGAGGGCTGGGTGGACGCTTGAGCTCTATTCAGAAAAGATATATCTCCAACCTAAATGATAACGACGTCATTGAAATAGATAGCATTCGAGGCAACAGAAGTGCCAGAGCGGAAGACCTGAGCACTGAGGAGTGTGAAAACATTGAAATTGCTGTGAAGAAACTTTCTTTATCATCAACTTCCACTTCTTTGCACAACTATCATTTGGATCCACTTAATGCATTATTAGCAGTTTGTGGACAGTCAGCTCCTTCCACGCTCAAGGATGCATTCTCTAATTATTGGTTGGTTCCTTAGTCTGAAAATACTTATTTTTATATATAAATCTTGCTTATTGGTTTAAAATAAGAATTCACATATATTTTGTTTAAATTTTTAATTTCTGCTGAACTCGAGTAATCTTGCTGAAATTTCAGTCTACAATTGTCATAGTCAAGAATATACCTTCACATATATTTTGTTTCGTATGCTATTATGTAAACGGTCTGTGGTCACAGCTCTTGCTATTGAAGTCGTATTCCAGTTAATTTCTTGGCTCACTTTAATTTTTCCTCAAAATGCATAAAAATTCTTTAACTGATGTGTTTCTTGACTCAGTGACCCGGAAACTATTGTCAAAATTGGTGAAGGTACATACGGAGAAGCTTTTAAAGCTGGTAACACTGTTTGCAAGATAGTTCCATTTGACGGAGATTTACGAGTTAATGGGGAAGTGCAGAAGGTACATTTTATTGCCATCTCATGGCCGTACTAGTGTGGCAAGTGGCACTTCACTAGCTAGAAAATTCGTGGCGTGGAAGATCATGCTGAGTAATTTTTTTTTTTAAAAAAGTAAATTTTTAATACGTTGATTTCTTAAATTCTTGATAATATTTGTTTTGGGTTTTATATCATTCTGATGAATGATGATGTCACCGTAGTGCCGGTTTGTTTGGATTTCCGATTGATGAATAAGGAAAAGAGAACTATTAGATTTTTTGGCCGGTAGTTGAAGTCATTGCGACTTGTTATAACTCTGTCATACTTACCTTGTATCAGAAATCAGAAGAACTGCTCGAGGAAGTCATACTCTCCAGAACTCTGAATTCTTTAAGAAGTAATGATGGCGGTGCTGATAATTTTTGCACAACATTCATACGAACCATAGAGTATGTTTACTGCTCAGTGAGATAATTGTTATGGTTTTTTATGATGCAATAATATGCATTTACCAGATTTTCCCACTTCACTTGTCGTTTAACAGCAACAGTTACTTTCTGCTTTATGTTAGGCGATAGGCAGTCAAACATCTAGATATGATTCAATGTTTAGGCCAGTTAAAGGGGAAAAAACTCGTTTCCAGCCCGTTTTATACTCTGGGTTTTGTCAGAATCACTCTGTCATGCAATTATGGAGCAGCTTCTTATGGACTATTAATTTAATATCTGCGTGATCTTTTTATCCAATAGTTTAAGGGTATGTCAAGGTTCTTATGATGCTTCACTAATCAAGGCTTGGGAAGTCTGGGATGAAAAGCATGGTTCAGAAAATGATCACCCCAAGCAGTTTCCAGAGAAACAGGTGTTTTTTTTTTAATTATAAATTTTATGGATCATGAATTTTTTGTACGAAGTATAAAAAGTATCTTTTATATCTACCCACTTCATTAAGGGCAAACAAAAATCATGGAAACATATATCTGTTCGCATAATATTGCTTATTTTTTAAAAAAGCTTGTGCAGCTAGAAGACCACGATCATTTTACTTTTTCGCGTTTCTTCATATATTACCACTTTTTTGCTATTGCATTAAGGTCTCACAACCTATTCGTTAAGTAATGGCATAAAATGATATATTAAAAATGTCATATTAGAGGCTTGGTCATGCAACTTTTGAGCTTTTAACTTCTACTAATGTTTTATACAGTGCTATGTTGTGTTTGTTCTCCAACATGGGGGAAAAGATCTTGAAAGCTTTGTACTCCTAAACTTTGATGAGGCACAGAGTTTAGTAATACAGGTTTGTGATGAATTATATTAACATTATTGGCTCTTGAAGCTTTAATCAAATCTAGTTTTGATGAATGACAGGTTACTGCAGCTCTAGCTGTAGCTGAAGCTGCTTATGAATTTGAACACCGTGATCTGCACTGGTTTGGCTCTTCTTCCATCTATAATTGTAGATGTAGTTCCTTTTCATTGACTACTGATTTGAAGCGTGTATTTATTGCCAGGGGAAATGTACTCTTAAGTCGCAATAATTCTGAAACACTGCAGTTCATCCTTGAAGGTAAGAACATGACCCTGCAGACATTTGGACTTCAGATATCGATAATTGACTTCACTCTATCACGAATCAATACTGGTAAGATGTTATTCTTCTATTTTATCATCTTTTGAGTTTGCACCAAGCTGTTGCGCTTCTTAATTAGAACCTGCTTATGAGCCTACTGTTGTTGCTTGCCTGACCAAAAAGGGAGTTGCAAAATTAAATGAATCTATGCAGGTGAGGACATACTCTTTTTAGATCTCTCATTGGATCCTTATCTCTTTAAGGGTCCCAGAGGAGATAGACAAGTAAGCAACCATTCAATTTGATAACTAACGAATTAAGATATATATTAGCAGTCGACTTATTCGAAAATATTTGCAATACTTTTGATTTTATGTTCTCATATGCAGTCAGAAACGTATAGGAAAATGAAGGAGGTGACAGGAGACTGCTGGGAGGGGAGGTAAAATTTCTAATGCATTTATCTTTCTATCACATCTGAATCACATTATGGAGGAGATATTAAACCTTTTCCGCTTTGGCTTATCGAGTTGTTAATTGTTACATGGTTTAAAAAATATCCAAAAAAGATGTGTACAATGTTGTTTGTGCAGGATTTGCAGTGCGAAATAGTTTAATGAGCCGAGAGGAAGATTTGATTATCATTTTTATTCCTGTTACCTCCCTTCAGCAAGTGCAATCATTGTTATTCTACTCCATGCTCAAAGTCATACATTTAAAATTTTAAAATGTAATCGATGAAATTTAGCAAGCAAATTATATAGTAATTAGTAGTAGACATCCACCGTCCATATTAACCCAACACCTTTCACAAGAGAGTTTTCTGAGATTAATCATAACTGAACCTGTTGATTTCATATCCAACAGCTTTCCCAGAACGAATGTCATGTGGTTGCTCTACCTTGTGGATATATTGCTTTTGAAGAAATCGTTTGTAAGTCTTTTTTATTTATTCAGGAGACCATTCGTCATTCTTAAGAAATCGTTTGCAAAGTTTTATATATGTGAAGTTAAATGACCGAGAAATTGAATTTAGCTGTTGGAAACAATCACGTTCAATTGTCACAAATCGCTAACAGAAAATGTGTTGCGCATTTCTCAAAGACTTCTAGAGTAGATTGAAAGGGTGCTCGGTGCATTTTAGATGCATAATCTCAACAGAAATTTGTTAAGTTATATTACGTATTCTGAAGTTTGATTTTTGAATCTCTAGATAAGCAGCTAGATTTTTTAGGTTGTATTATTTTCTAAAGATTTATACATATTTAAGAAGTTTAGTTCCCAAGTTATTTTTAAATATATTCTGCTATATCCAGACAGAACTTGGTAAAGTTTCAAAGTTGCTTATTCTGAAGATTGAAAGGTTGTCGATGTTTCAGGAGCGTAGTTCAAAGCATGAAAGGGAACTGCGTGCATTGAAGAAACGTCTGGACAAATATAATTCAGCAAAAGAAGCAATTCTCGATCCATTCTTCAGTGAGTTGATTGCTTGGTCAGGCAGTGTGGAGTAGAGTTGGAGGGTTTTAGACTTCCAACATGAAATAGGAAAGAGGTCTTGAAGTGCCACTTCTATATAAATTAAGTAGGTGATGTCGTGTACAGAACCCTCCTGCTCTATGGATGAAAATTAATCATTGTATTTATAACTTTTTAAAATATATAGACCAGATTGACACAAATGTGAAATTATAATGATAAAAGGTATAATTTAATAGTCTTCTTTTGGTTTGGATTATTATGATATCTTGTTCCTCAACAATGACTTTCCTCATTTCATTATGAATTATTTCTGAGTTATAATTATGGAAAATTAAAGGGAAAGCTTATCAGAGAAAAAGGGTATTGATAGGTGATGATTTAGATAAATCTGCTTTAGTAAAAAGTAGGCTACATGGTGTCACGTTTTGCATCATATTTGGCTTTGTGATGATCTCTAAGCCAATCGATTTCAATCTTTGTTAGAACATCATCTGAAAATGTGCTGGCAAACCACTACCATTTTATCTTCTACGAGAATCCTGCATGACATAGGCTCAACTCTCAAGGATTGTGGCATGGCAGCCCAATACATTTTAACCAAAAGTTCAATTCCTCTGTTCCTTCAACTTCCAATTTTGGGCAGCGAAAAGCACCTTGCTTTCTGATAATCTTTGATATTTATCCTTTTGACGTATATGGGTAAGAAGAAATTGACATGCAACCTCTCAATTGTCCCATAGATTTACTTTCCATGGAAGGGTATCAAATCAGAGACTGCTGGAGAGTTGCTTTGAAAAGCTAACTTTTTCATTTTTTATTTCCGGACTGTTCTTAGGGATTATTTTGAATGCTTTTCTAAGAGTTAAAAGTTTATTATGCATTTGAAGCTATTATTCACAAATTTGTGATTTAGTTATTGTTATGGTGTAAAATCTGATGCAACACATGGCACTCCCCTGCTTGGATACGTGTAACTGGACCTTAACGAACTCGAAAGATGAGGAGGAAGGGCCTCTGACAAGGTGAGCAGAGCTAACTTCGGCTTTGACTTGGAGAAAATTTTGACCAATAGGAAATCCGCTGACATTCGATGGAGGATGATTCTGCTGCCAAAAGCTCTTTCAATAGCTAGCAGAAAAGCCGTTAAAAGATAGGTACGACAGCCAGCAATGACAAAACCTCGATTCCCAAGACTCCCCTCCTATAAAAGGTGAGTCCAACCTTCAAAAGGTATGCAATCTTTTGCATTTCACTTGAGCTATCTCGACACTGACTCCTACTTAGTTCTAACTTAAATATTAGAGTGTACGTGTTCGAGCACCAAATCTCTGCAAGTTTCTGTTTGTTGGTACCAAAGAACAGATCGGAGCCACATAAGATTGCTGTCTACGTGCCACTTCGGCCAGAAACACGCATCAACAGTTTTTGTAACATGTTTTGATTCTGGAAATTGGAATCAGAATGTGGGCGTATGGCTTTTATGCAGGAAAGCCCCATGAAAAATATAAAACAGGTGATTGACTGTATGGGCTCTCTCTCTCTCTCTGTGAGAGAGAAATGCATATTTGCTTTCGGCTTTGTCTAGTCAGATGCTTTTGATCCATTGATACGAAGAAACCAATTCCACATGCACTGTCCCCATTCCCATTGTATATTCTATATCTTAATCTCACCATCACCAACAGCACCTCCATGCTTGTGGAAAGTAGCAACCTTTTTTTGAGCCACTTGGGAAAGCATTTGCAGCTTCAGAACCATTTCAAAGTCCGCATCATTTTTGTGTCACTTCCGTTGCCTTGCTTTGCTGCACTCTGCATAAACTCAGAAGTTCTGCCCATTATGTCTCATTTTTTTCCCCAATAATGGCTGTCAAATCTTGTACCTTAAGTAACCTCAAAAGGCTAAAAACTGCATCATTCATCCTAATCCCAATTCCCATGTAGATCTGATCCTCTCATTTCCTTCTTTGCCACCTCCAATAAACTATTTGCTTTCTGGGTTTTGCTGAGCTGAACACATTTGACTCCCAATTATATTATTATACACCTCCACTGCAACTGTCCAAACAACTTTAATCTTTAATGTTCTTTAGACTTTTGAGTGATATTTTGAGGAATCATATCTTGTATTTGATGGAATGGTTGGTAGCCTATTGTTCAATCAATTCAACTGATGAAATTTAGTTGATTATCTCGTTTCAATTCTAAAAGAAATTAGGTTGGAGAGAAAAGAGAAAACAAAAAGGGTTGGGATTACTTGGAAAGGGAAGAGAATGGAATCACCTAGGCTTTGGTTACAGTCATGGGTGCATGTGTACAAATGCACATGCTGTGTTCTTCTCTTGTGGTTGTGCTGTGGTTGAATGTTACTTTATTATATCTTTGAGGTTATTTGTCTTTTGGGAAAAGATAGGAAGAAAAGCAAAAAAGCATGGATGGCTCATTCTCCTTTTTCTACTGTCATCAGAGGCAACATTTCCAATATCATCCTTGCTCATAAAGTAAGCATTTTTCCCCTTCATTTATTTATCTGTTCATTTTTTGATTTCGGTTGTAAGCGTTGCAACTTGGGTCATCTTTCTCTCTTTTTTTCACCTTTATCTTCTACTTTTTCCCCCCGTCTCTCTCTTTCACTTTGCATGTTTCACTCGTAAGTGCTTTTACACCAATTTTTCTTCCTGGTTTCGTTGTTTTTAAAAGCAATGCCTAAATTGAACCGATCCCATTAAGAATCCAGTTGGGTCTCTTCATTTGTCCCCAGAGCTACTAGAACTTCCCACCTCCCCCGTTAAAATGGCCCAAACAGCTTCCAAATGCATCTTCTTTTCCTTTCTGTCTCTCCTAGCCATCTGCTCTTCTGGTAAGCAGTTTCTCCTCGTCGAACCAGAACAGATCTAGCTCAGTTCCTCGTTTTCTGCTCTGATTTGGTCTTGGTTCCTGCAAGTTACAGCTTCTAAGTCGAAAGTTTTCATTTTTTTCCTTCGCGAATTGCGTTTTCTGTTTTAGCAGAAATTTTAAGGGGTTTTGTTGTTTAGCATTGGGTGAATCTGTTTTCTGCTTTATTTCCGTTCTGTTTCTGAATGCTTCATTTTTGCAGGTAGATTTGTTGGGTCGTATTTGGAAGTGGAAGAAAATGCTTCCATGGAGTTGAGATGGGAAGAAGGCCGGAACCGGAAACTCACTGAGCGTGATCGGAGAACAATGCACGACATGAC